ATGTTCACATACAACAACACAGTCTGGGATTGAGCTTCTGCGTAGCGGGTCCTTCTGTTTATGTGTTGCTTTCATTGGTTAATGAATAAAGAAACTGCCTTGGCCTTTGGATAGGGCAGAAATTAGGTAGGTGGGGAAACAGAACTGAATGCTGAGAGAAAGAAGGTCAGAGTGAGAGAAGCCATGGATCCTCCGTCTGAGACAGATGCCTGTTAGATCTTTCCCGGTAAGCCACTGCCACATGGTGATACACAGATTAATAGAAATGGGTTAAATTAAGATGTAAGAATTAACCAATAAGAAACTAGTGCTAATGGGCCAAGCAGTGATTTAAATAATACAATTTCTGTGTGGTGTAAGCTAGCTGGGCAGCCAAGATAAACAAGTGGCCCTCTCCCTTCCAACACTTCTGGGAAAACAGAATGGCACTTAGATTAGAAGGAAATGGCATTCACTCGGCCTTGGGACCCTGTTGGTGTTTGGCTCTTGTGTGACTGTGGCAATATAGGCTGTCCCACACTGTTTTGTACAAGAATAGGCCCATTTTTATTGTGTGTCCTTTGCCTGATTTACTGGAGACAAGAAAGGATCCAACCTCAGAATCCTTAACCACTAACTCCTCCCTACCTTGCTTGTTGCCTGTCTCCAAAAGAAATGACTTTCCCAAACCATTTTTGCAGAACAGAATTGCTCAAATCAGCCACACACATAACTTCTGAGTAAACGCGAACCCTCAATGTGAAGAGCTTTTCTAAAAATCTTGGTATCCATTTGACAGCCCACAGCAGGAGGAAGGAGACAGTTGAGTCACAGAAAGCATTTAAGAATAGACTGTGGGCAATGTTTTACACTTCTAAACACTTGGGGTGTGAGTGGGCCCTTTGGAATGGGGGAATCTTGACACTCAGCAGTGAACTATCCACTGAGGCATGCCCAACTTGGTAAAAAAAAAAAAAAGGTGGGGTCAGTAATAGGAACTAGGAATTCAGGGTCTCCCAGAGCCTATTAATATTCTTCATAAATTCACTTTTTAGCTATAACCCATGGTGAAGGACATTCAGGAGTGAAAGGAACAGCATGATCCAAAGGAAATTTCATCTGGGTTGTGTGGGAACCATGGGAGCTCAGCACACTATAGGAATGAATGCACACAGTGTGGCCACATGGCTCATGTCAGTGCCCAGGAGGCTCCAGACAGTTCAGTGATGGCCAGGACATAGACAGACAGGACATAGTACAGAGGCTCTGTACTGTGATCTTGGCCAGTGTCTCAAGAATGATCCCATGGCCATTCTCACTAGGATGTGGCTCTATAGGTTTCAAACAGCTGGCTGCTGTCTCTAGCAAGGGGCAGTCAAGGCCTTCTTAAGTTGCCTTCTTAAACGAACGGCAACCCTTCAAGCTAATAGGATTGGTGACCTAGAAATATCTGTGAGTTTGTCGGACACATGGGCCTCAGAGGAATCATCAAGGACAGCTGTGTCCAAACCCGGGCACCCACCTGCCTCTCAGAACAAGAGCCATTTAGCTCTGTCTCCGGCACACTCACAGGAAGAATCAGGGATAGGAGCCATGGGTGAAGCTACCTTTTCCTAGAGGCGGCACTGGGGACCCCTGTGGTCCTTGATTGAAAGCAGGCAATGAAATCCAAGAAAACCATGTACTCCTAGGGAATCACACCAGTCAGTCTTGATGCTTGAGGAAGAACCTCGGGATGTTCTTCAAGGAAGAGGGAGAAGCTGCTGTCTCTCGGGAGCCATGGTGTGAGAATGGATGACTCTGGCCGGCTAGACTGCCACGCAGGGAAAGAACCTCCTACAGAATTTTGAGATGTCTTTTTCCAGTTTGGGGCTGACTGGGGTCACCACTGAGTCTTTGGGACAGGTCACATCACCTGTCTACATCTCAGTCTCTTCAACTATAAATGACAAGCGCATTCTTCAATGCTTCAGTTTATGATTCAGGTTATTCTCACAGCGGGGTAGGGGTTTAAATGGAAGACTGTGTCTTTCAGGATGGCAGATATTCTTAAGTGTCTCTGATACACCAGCAAGAACCTGCTGCAGGACAAGTCACCCTATAGCTAGTCATTTATTACTTTTTTTCCTAAGACTCTGGCTCAGCTGGGTGAGTCTGCTGAACTCTGAACAGGATCTGGCCAATGCTCACTGTGCTTACTTCATGTGTGTTGTTGGTCGGTTAGCAGAGATCTGGGAACTCTATGGTCAGCTCTCTTCCACGTGTCCCTCAGATCTGTCCAGCAGCCTTACCTAACACTGTGAACATCAGCAGAGGTGAGAGACAGAGAGAGAGACAGAAAGAGAGAGAGAGAGAGAGAGAGAGAGAAAGAGAGAGAGAGAGAGAGAGCTTGAAAATGCTCTGAAAGCTTTAGCTGAGACAGAGTTTGATAGGGATCTGCTATAAGCCTCCCAGTCAAACCCCAAATCACAGGTGAAAGTTAAAAGCCATAAAGACATGGAGGACAGAAAGCTAATATAGAGTCTTCTGCATAGTGGCTTCTGGGGAGAAAATGGGTCTAAGAATTAACAAGAAGTTGGGAAATGAACATAGCAAAGACTTGACCTGGGCAAGAGCACTCAAAGAAAAGAAAAGGTCAAGTCTTGGGAATGTTAGAAATTGACCTTGAATAGGACAAGACAGCCTGAGTCTGGAAGACCAGAAAGCAGGAAAAGGTCTGGTGGTCACACAGTGCAGTCAGGTAGGGGACTCGTGTGGACGATGCAGAGGCACCTGGGTGGGTGGGAGGAGGTGGGGGACTCAGAGCTCTTCCTGCGCTTCTGTTGCTCAAAAGCCCATCTTCCAAATCACTCCCATAATGCATAGCTGATTTTTTTCTTACTCCCCCTCCCCTTTAAGATTAAGTTCTCTTTCTCAGTGTCCTAATTAACCAATTGTGCTAAAGAAAGAGAAGAAGCTGCTGGGTAGTTAAAGAGAAACTGAATAAGATGAAAAATGAGTTATTATCCCCATTTCATATTTGAGGCTAATCCCAGTTAATAAATGGTGGCCAGGACCACACGGAGACTCCTAATTTCAAGGTCACTGCTTGTTCCTTTGTCTTCTGCTGAGTCTGGCTGGGGTGCACACAGCCCCTCGGGCATGAACGTGTGGAGCAGCTACATAAAACAGAGAAGCAGGCACAGTGCCTGGGCCTTCCTGGCACAGGCAGAGATTACAAGACGGAGACACAGATGCATAGCCGGCAAGAAGCTGTGTCCTTCATGTGCAGCCTGGGCACTGGCCCACTAGGCAGGTACTGGCTGGGGACTGAGTCTTAGCCTCTGCTGCAGCCCAGTTCCAAACTTGAGCATCTTTTCAGGGCCAAAGTGCACCTGGGAAAGCTCAAATCCAGCGGGGCCTATGGGGTACCTAACGGGGTACCCAGCACAAAGGTGCAATTCTTCACATCCACGCTTTTCCTTAGTCGAATCTAGTCTTGCTGCAAATCAGGAAGCTACTGTGACATTTAGCTGTCAAGCAGGGTGACCACCAGCCATTAGGTATTTAAGACTGGCAGACATCATACGTGACTGTAGATTGGGTCTCCGGAGCTGCCGAAAGAGCATTCTGGATGGGAAGGCCTGTGACAGTCACCAGATTGTCAGAGGGGGTTCTCAGACTTAGACTTGTAATGGTCTGGTGCTATCCTCTTTCTAAACTGGTTACTCCACGGTTGACCAAATCAGCAAAAGCAGCTCAGGCTATCAGCAGCAGTTAGGCTACAATAGCTGCAGCCAGAAACCAAATATGAGTGAGTACATCCCATGTTCCTCATTTTGGGTCTGGCTTACCTCACTCAGGATAGTGTTTTCTATTTCCATCCATTTGCATGCAAAATTCAAGAAGTCATTGTTTTTTACTGCTGAGTAGTACTCTAATATGTATGTATTCCATACTTTCTTCATCCATTCTTCCGTTGAAGGGCATCTAGGTTGTTTCCAGGTTCTGGCTATTACAAACAATGCTGCTATGGTTGAGCATATACTTTTTCTAGCCATAAATAAAGGACATTGAGCCTATATAATTTGTGATCCTAGAGAAGCTAAATAAGAAGGAGAACCCAAAGAAAATCATATAGGCATCCTCCTGAATATCAACCTTCATCAGGCGATGAAAGGAGACAGAGACAGAGACCCACATTGGAGCACCGGAAAGAAATCTCAAGGTCCAAATCAAGAGCAGAAGGAGAGAGAGCACAAGCAAGGAACTCAGGACCTCGAGGGATGCACCCACACACTGAGACAATGGGGATGCTCTATTGGGAACTCACCAAGGCCAGCTGGCCCGGGTCTGAAAAAGCATGGGATAAAACCGGACTCACTGAACATAGCGGTCAATGAGGACTACTGATAACTCAAGAACAATGGCAATGGGTTTTTGATCCTACTGCACGTGCTGGCTTTGTGGGAGCCTAGACAGTTTGGATGCTCACCTTACTAGACCTGGATGGAGGTGGGTGGTCCTTGGACTTCCCACAGGGCAGGGAACCCTGATTGCTCTTTGGGCTGATGAGGGAGGAGGACTTGATTGGGGGAAGGAGAGGGAAATGGGAGGCGGTGGCAGGGAGGAGGCAGAAATCTTTAATAAATAAATTAATTAATTAAAAAAAATAGCTGCAGCCAGAGGGAATTCTGTTCTCTCGGGCACTGACTCTCCCAAGCTAGGAAGGGGACTTATCTAAATCTCTGTGCCCTCTAAAGAAGGCAAGATAGGTTAAGGTGGAATTCTGCTCCTCAGAGAGTCTGAACAGCAAGCAGCTCCTCTCCTCTGCTTCCCTTCCAGAAGCCCTTAGGCTTCTCCTCAACCCTCCACAAAAACCCTTCCCACCTCACACCTCCCTACCACTTCCCGTCAGGTGAATTTTATTTAATCAAACACATCTTTGCATCATCAAACAAATGTTCCAGAGCATAAACAAAAGTAGCACACCTTAAAATAATATTCAACAACCATCTAGAATTCCCTCTCCACGCTCCCACCTTTGCTCAGAGTCCAGGGCGCAGATCTCTGCCAACAACAACCCATGCAATCTCCTGCGGTCCATACCCATCCTGTTGAATGAGGGATACACAGGAGTTCCTGCTTGGATCAAGACAGATCACTTCCTTGTCTGTGTCCAGCATATGGAGCCTGAGCCAAAGCTGCTGGGAAAATTAGGGAGACCACCTCAAAATGCTTTGAGACTAGTGGAAGGGGGCTGATTTTTTTAAATGTGCATATTCAAAGACAACTAATGAATAGTTTCATTGCACCCTACAAAGTGAATATTTTCTCCAAATCTCAGAATTGCCTTCTTTAGAGAGTAGGTGACCGCCAGCGTGACACAGAGACAAACCCTGTTTGTGCTGAAGGAAATCCTCTAGTGCCACCTGGTGGCTATGACATGTTACTGCACCTTTCGCAACCCAATTTGCTCCAAGTTCTATCTTAAGTTACCTTTAACCCATCTTCGCTTACTTGTGGGTTAGCCCTCAGAGACTTCTAATACGATGTTAGTGATGGAACCGATCTTCCTTCTCATTGCCCAACTCTCTCCAGTTCTGTGTATTGTCTCCACGTAACTTCCCCGCCACTCAACCCTCGCCCCACGACAGAACATCCCATGACAAGGGGACAAGTGTGCAACCTCCCCGCTGCCATTCTTCTGGGGATTTCCCTCCAAACAGACCCCTTTACTCAAACTGGTCCTTTTTGACTTTTTGGCATTGTTTTCTCTATAACAGACACGAGGGGTTGCTGTTCACACTGTACCCAGGTCCATCCTACACCTGTTCTCTGGAGACTGGAGAAGCAGGCTGGGACCCTGTGTGTGCTGAGCTCACACTCCAACCTGAGGGGCGAGCCCTCACTAACTGTGGTTCTGAGGGTGTGGCTTACACAGGGGACCTTGAGGACAGGGAGAAAACACTGGGCTCAAGCAATGACGCTCAATGCAGCCTGTGGGAGGTGGACGCGTTCTAGTTCAATGGGTTTTTCAAATGAGATTATTGAGCTAATATCTCACTCTATGGTCTAGGTTGAACTGCAACTTTGTGGCATTTCTCCCATCTTAGCCTACTAAATGCTGGGGTTACAAGCATGCACCACCAGGCACAGGCATGAAGGTGAGCTTTAAAAGGGCTTTGGTGCAGGGCATCAGTGATAGGAAACTGACAGACCACAAAGTGTAAGCCAGTGTGTGCGTTCAGGGTGCACCTCAGGTCACAGAGCACACTGAGCGTCAGGAGTCAGTGGCCAACCCGAGAACTACACAAGAGTCCAATCACAACAGGCTATGTGAGCCAGGCTATTTAAGGATGACAGGAACTTGAGAGAACCTCCAGTGACAGGGTAGGTAGAGAGCAGTGGGACGGATGGTGGGCTGGAACGCATTGAAGAGCATGATTCAGGGAAATGGCACAGGACCCAGGGGGGGGCCGCCCATAGCGCAGATCTCTGGCCTGTCAGTTCAGCCAGTAGCAAACCCTTTGGGTACTTCAACTACCCATGGTTCCTGAGGTACACTGAAGAACCCCCCAGAGAAGGCGAGGAAGAGAGACAGACAGACAGACAGAAGCAGTATGGCGGGGAGGGGAAGGGGGGAGAGCTGCTGAAAGAAACACAAACAACTAAAGGAACAATATTCTTAAAAACACCCACAAATGCAAAGCCAGCAAGATGGCTGAGTGGAGCATGAGCAAAGGAAAGGCTGACTAGACATGGGCATCTGGGGACCTTCAGGGTGACTGGGACAGAAGTCAGACAGCAGAGGGTACTCCTGAGCTAAGGGAGAGCTATCAGCACTTGGAAGAGAGCCTCTGTTAACAGTAGTGGTTCTCAACCATGAGTCACAACCCCTCTGGGGTTGAATGACCCTTGCACAGGGGTCACCTAAGATCATTGGAAAACACAGATACTTACATGATGATTCATATCAGTAGCAAAATGATAGTTATGAAGTAGCCACAACAATAATTTTGTTTGGGGTCACCACAGCATGAGGAACTGTAGTAAAGGGTCTCAGCATTAGGACGGTTGAGAACCACTCGTCTAGAGGTTCCTCTGAGCAAGAAAGTGGAGGAGGCTGGAGGACAGCTAGAAGGGGAAAGACAGAGACAGAGAAGGATGCTACTTTCATGGTGGGAAGACTGGAGTTTCCGTGCTGTGCAGGTGAGTAACCACAGCAGTGTCTGCATGTAAGCAGAAAGCTGCTTGCTTGTTTTCTGGCCTCCCAGAGCCAAAATAATTACACAGAAGCTATATTATTTACAATACTGTTTGGTCAATAGCTTGTACATATTTCTTGCGAGCTCTTACATCTTAAATGGACCAATTTTTCTTATTTTATATTTTACCACGAGGCTCATGGTTTACCAGTAAAGTTCTGGGATACGTCTGTCTCCTGAGGCAGCTACATGACTTCCTCCTGATTCTGCCTTCTTTCCTCCTCCATCTGCTTGGAATTCTCAACTTGCTCTATTCTGCTAAGCCAATGGCCAAAACAGCTTTACTCACTAACCAATAAAAGCAACACATATACAGAAGGATTTCCCACACCATTTCCCCTTTTCTGTCTAAATGAAAAGGAAGGTTTAAGATTTAACATAGTGAAATTACATATAACAAAACAGTTATTAACCAAGAGTTACAGTTACAATATTTATATCTACTTTATCTTTTATTATAACTAAGGAAAGCTTTAACTATCTATTCTTCAACTCCATCAAAGACCCCAAAAGGATATATTACCTAAGTAAATAGAAAGTGTATTGTAAGCAACTTCCAAAACTCTAGAATTGACAGAGACATCTTGCTGCCTAGATAGTCACCTAGAGTTCTTTTGTAATATTGGAGCATCCATCTTCGGCCTGCAGGCCCACAGTATCTGGTAGATTTTCATGAAGCAGAAAATTTGAAGATCTATTTTGCCTTGTAATAAGTTTATTAGATGCTTTCTTCTATGTTCTGCAAAATATCTGGCAGACTCTTTTATAAAGCAGGAACTCTGAATGACTATCTCACCTTTAGGCAAGTTCAGCAGTCATTTTTCTGTGGGTCCTGCATGTCCAGTTCATACAGCATGACATCAAGGAGTCCAGGCAAGAATAGTTTCTTGCCCAAATGACTAGCAAACTCCATAGGAGCTTCTTCAATGCCTATCTTACTCTTGAAGTGGATTGGTGCTGCCAGAAGTAGATGTGTTTCATTGTTATGAAAAGTCCTAAGTTCTTAAAACATTCTAAATGTCATATTCTGTAGGTCTTTGAAAGGTTTAAAAATTATTTATCTAACTGAAATATATCTCTATATATCTAGAAAACCTAACAACATGACTACAAGCTTGACTATTATAGATGCTATCTATTAACCTTTATTTCTTAAGTATACATTATATTTTCAAATGAGATGCACAAACACAATATCTTATCAAGAGCAGAAATATGTATATAAGAAAATTGATCTTGGGTCTGGAGAGATGATTCAGAGGTTGGGAGCACTGCCTGCTCTTCCAAAGGTCCTGAGTTCAATTCCCAGCAACCTCATGGTGGCTCACAACCATCTGTTATGAGATCTGGTGCCCTCTTCTGGTCTTCAGCCAGACATGCAGGCAGAGTACTGAGAATACTGTATGCATAATAAATAAATAAATCTTTTAAAAAATTGACCTTAAATTTGTATCAATAGACCAAGATCCATACCAATGCAAAGTCTTCATCCCTATAGCATATCCCCCTTTAAATGTAAACATTTATACATAATATTTGAGAATTTGGGCATAGTTTTCTTCAAACTGCTTCCTGTTTTTTGTTGGGTGAAGTAATTTTCTTTTTGGGGATTCATGGAGACCTTTCGGGGGGTCTTGGTCCATCACACCACATTAGTCTGGAAGGAATCCACAGGTTTCCATCCACAGAGCCTCTTTTTCAAAGCAACATATCCTTAGACCCAAATTTTGAAGTCAAGATAAAATACATGCGTTAGTTTAACTTAGTAACATGTACAATGAAATGTCTGTCTATACTTAGCTCATTCAAAGTCAAAAAATTCAAAGAAATAATATACATAATCCAGACTTTCTGTGTATTTTTATCTTTATGTGACTTATTTTTTTTACTCCTTTAATCTATGACTGTCTGTACTCTTTTATATTACTTTTACTGTCTCTTTAAAGACTTGACTTCTTTTATTACTGTCTTACTCTTTTTTTTCTCTCTCTCCCAAGCCTATATACATTTATTCCACACTATGGCTCATTTAGAGGTCTTTTCTGTCTGAATCCTATTTTTTTTTATTGCATATCTGTAATCCTTTTCTGACCAGGACTACTTCTTAAAATGCTAAATGGTGTGGCTAGGACTAAGGCTGCTTTGCCTTTTGGCTCTGCCCAGTCCAACATGACAGAGGCATGTTCACTGCCTCCAAGACTGCCAGATGGGAGCTGTCCTCACCCTCTCAACTCTGGGTATCACTGTGCAGCATATAAACCCTTTTTATCTGAGAAAAAGCTAAATCTGCCACGTAGTGCACTGCACAGCCTGGAAATAACTCTGTGTATGACTGTGGGAACCTGCCATGCTTTCTTGCCTGTGCACACCTAGCAGACCCAATCAGGCTGCTTGCTCAGACAGGGGCGCCGAGCGGCAGTCATGCTCTCTGCTACTCTCCTCCTAACTGAGCAGGCATACAGCCACCCAAACCCGAAGTGTATGGCTGGCCACGTGGGTAACCTATCTGTAAGCAGAAGGCTACTTATTCATTTCCCAGATGTCCAGACCAAAATAATTATACAAAACTATATTATTTACGATACTATTTGGCCAATAGCTTAAGCATGTTTCTTGCTAGCTCATACATCTTAAATTAACCCATTTTTATTATTTTATATTTTACCATGAGGTTCATGGTTTACATGTACAGTTCCAGGGCATGCCCCCTGACTCCACCTTCATTCCCCCTCTATCTGCTTGGAATTTCTGCCTTGCTCTATTCTGCTAAGCTACTGGCCAAAACAGCTTTATTCATTGATCAATAAAAGCAGCACAGTTACAAAAGGACTTCCTACACTGACTGCAGGATGTAGGGCCAGAGCTGGAGAAGGGAGATGCTCTTGACTAGTGCTGGAAGAAGAGCCCTGAACCCAATGAGGAAGGTCCTCCTTCAGTAAGCTGATGCAGATGAAAACTGCCCAGGCCAGGTTAAACTGCAGGTTAAATTAAAGGCAAAGAAAGGTAGGAAATGTCATACCACAAAAGCTCACCTAGTAAAATTCATATTGAGACACATCTTGGAGAGCCATGGCATTTATTCAATAACTGAGTGGAGATTCAAAAAGACACTGAGAGTCTAGAGCAGAGAGCCACACACTGGCTTCAGCAATGCAAAAGTAAGTTGTGCTGTTGGGTTCAAAGTGCAAATACAAGAGGGTTGACTTGGATTCATGAATAGTGCCAAGTGACTGCGGCACCCATGGAGGACGTCTCCATTGTGGTTTGAACATGAAAGAACCCCCACAGGTTCATGTTCTGTGCTCTGGGTTCTCAGATCATGGCACTTTTTGAAGCCTGTCTGACAACAAAGCAGTCACTCAGGTGGACCTTTGTTGTCCTTTCCATGCCTGCCCACCCCATGCTGTTCATTTCCTGGTCCCCACTAGGCATTCTCACCTTAATGGGTTGAGATTTCTCTGAAATTATGAGCCAAAATAAACCTCTCTTCCCTGAAGTTGCTTATGGATGAATATCATCACAGCAACACAATAACAGGTACGTTTTTCATTTTTCTAAAAAGGACTGAGAGACTTTATAAGCTGAGGAATTGAGATTCTCAATATTGAGTCTCTGTTGTAATGATTGGTCTGTCTCTTTAAGAGACAAGCCACGCCCACTCCCTCCCCCATCTGTTGAGACAAGCTGATCTTCAGCTTCCAGCTTGGGCTCCTTCTCTTTTCCATCTTCCTCTGGAAGAGGCAGCTTCTGCCTCTCCCCACTTCTCCCCTTCCCCCTTCTGTCTCTCTCTCCCTCCCTCTCTCTCTCTCTCTTCTCTCTCTCCTCTTTCTTTCTCTGCTCTTCTCCCCTTCTCCCTTCCCCGTCCACATCCCACTGAATAAATATCCAACCTCACTCGGCATGGTGTGCCTATCCATGTCTCTGTCTCTTGTCTGCAACCACGTGTCTCCCTGCCCCGGACCAGCCACCGCTAGGGGACCTCCAGCCATGCCCTACCTGGCACTAGCAACAAGCAACACAGTGGGGGGGGGGGAGAAAAGGAAAAAAGAGAGAAAGAAAAACTGAGGGACCCTGGGACCCCAGTCATGGGGTGGGTGGGCCCCGGGACATTCCAAATACAATTTCATCTAAGGGAAGGAATCCAAAAATGAATGTCAATAAAGGGCACAACCTTAGCCATGAAGACCGTGGTTGGGGTCAGTCCCCCTGTTTCTAGGATCACCAGAATATTGCTGGGAGATCACCAGTCAATTCCTTGAGTTCAGAGAAACGGTTAAGCAGACCAGAGTGGAGGAAACTCATCGATTGAAGCTGGTGGTGTGAGTAGAAGTCACACTGCAGAAGTTGTACTCAGGCATATGGAACACATGGTTGTTGTGGAAAAAATGCCTGGTTCAGGATCCTGACCCCGGGAGAGGGAATCGGGGCGGGAAAGCCTATCCGAGTCATGGCACCCCATGTAATGGGAACATTAAAACTGCTGCAAGATCCCAGTGGTGGCAGGCAGGAGAAACACTGCAGGATCCCAGTGGTGGCAGAGGAAACACTACAGGATCCCAGTGGTGGCAGGCAGGAGAAACACTGCAGGTTCCCAGTGGTGGCAGGAGAAACACTGCAGGTTCCCAGTGGTGGCAGGAGAAACACTGCAGGTTCCCAGTGGTGGCAGGAGAAACACTGCAGGTTCCCAGTGGTGGCAGCGGGCCATGTGGCGGCAGGCAGTGGGCCCTAAATTCCTCATGTTGACTCTGTTGCATGTGTTTTGTGCAGTGGCATGCCTTTGGTAGGGCCCACCAAGAGCATCCACTTCACCCAATTCCTGTTCACTCTGTGTGTTTGTGTTCATACATGTAACTTAAATTCACCTATGCTTACTGTTAAGTGTTATAATTGTCTGTTCTTTGCATCTCATTTCAGACTACAAAAACAATAAGTCTCATATTTTAAACTGTCATGTACTTTTAAGTCTCTTACAAAAATACTTTATATTTAATCCAATCCTCATTTAAAATATATTAAGCTGTTCTCTACTATTGCCAGTTCTGCCATTAACCTTCTATTGCAAGCAGTTTTTTTCTTCTTTCTGTTTTTTTTTTTTTTTTTTAAGAGTGTAAATCTTACGTGTTAAGTTACGAGCCCGTACAGTCAAGCTCAGACTCAGACCCAGCTTTCCAGGCAGATTCTATACTGTAGTTATACCTAATAAACAGCCCTCAACTGCTCAGAGATCTAGGGAATATGACATTTAAATATTTAATTATTAGAAAACTTTTCATAACAACAACAACAAAAAAGACAGCTTGGCTCGTAGCAGAACTCTACTTCCTCCAAAGAAGACAGAAGACAAA